TTGGAATAGAAATTGATAGGATTAAAATCAACTGGTATAAATACAGATGTAACAAGACAATAAAACACAGAACTTGGCTGGAGATCCTGACTAGAGAACCTGGCTAGGCTGCTGATCAACTGAACACTGTCTCCGTGTCATTCCTTCTTCGCCAACTCCATCCACACCTTTGGGAACCCCTGGACCTGATGGGGCTGGACCCCAATATCTGATGCCCTAACAGGGACCCCTAGGTACCCAAGAAATAATAGACAAAAAATTAGAAGCCGGAGGAGGGGCAAAGCTCAAGATGGCGGACAAAATGCCAGGTGGCTCTCAGAAGGCCAGTTCAAAGACAAGATCATCAGATGTTCATTCATCTGGATCTTCAGATGCACATATGGATGCATCTGGACCCTCAGAAAGTGATATGCCAAGTCGAACACGACCTAAGAGCCCAAGAAAACATAATTATAGGAATGAAAGTGCCCGTGAAAGCCTTTGTGATTATCCTCACCAGAATACTTCAAACCCTCTTCTAGAAAACAAACTTAAAGCATTCAGTATTGGAAAAATGAGTACAACTAAGCGAACTTTAAGTAAGAAGGAGCAAGAAGAATTGAAGAAAAAGAAGGATGAAAAGGCTGCTGCTGCGATTTATGAGGAATTTCTTGCTGCTTTTGAAGAAAGTGATGGTAATAAAGTGAAGACATTTGTGTGCGGAGGTGTTGTTAATGCAGCTAAAGAAGAACATGAAGCAGATGAAAAAAGAGGCCAAATCTATAAGCCATCTTCAAGATTTGCAGATCAAGAAAACCCTCCAAATCAGTCATCCAATGAAAGACCACCATCTCTTCTTGTGATAGAAACCAAAAAACCTCCACTGAAGAAAGGGGAGAAAGAAAAGAAAAAAAGCAATTTGGAACTCTTCAAAGAAGAATTGAAACAAATTCAAGGAGAGCGTGATGAGAGACATAAAACAAAAGGCAGGTTAAGTCGCTTTGAGCCTGCTCAGTCAGATTCTGATGGTCAGCGGCGTTCCATGGATGTGTCTTCAAGAAGAAATAGATCATCTGTTCTTGATGATTATGCGCCTGGGTCACATGATGTGGGAGATCCAAGCACTACTAATTTATACCTTGGAAACATTAATCCACAGATGAATGAAGAAATGCTGTGCCAAGAATTTGGAAGAGACCATTAGCTAGCCAGTGTGAAAATTATGTGGCCTAGAACTGATGAAGAAAGAGCAAGGGAGAGAAATTGTGGCTTTGTGGCCTTTATGAATAGAAGAGATGCTGAAAGAGCTTTAAAAAATTTAAATGGTAAGAAGGTTTTTATTGTTCATTTATAAGAATTCAGACCTTTTCTTTTGGTTCTGGAAAATATGATATAAAGATTTTTGAGAAATAAATGGACCAGAAATGGAAAGGTTAAAAATTAATTCAAATCCCTGAAATCTTTTATTTCCTTTGCGAGTTATTACCAAGGTGATCTTTCTTTTTTTTCTTGTAGGAAAGATGATTATGTCTTTTGAAATGAAGTTAGGTTGGGGTAAAGCTATGCCTATTCCTCCACATCCAATATACATTCCGCCATCTATGATGGAACATATGCTTCCCCCACCTCCATCAGGACTGCCTTTTAATGCGCAGCCTAGAGAGCGGTTAAAAAACCCCAATGCTCCCATGTTACCACCACCTAAAAACAAGGAGGATTTTGAGAAGGTAATTTTAAAAATGTACATAGGGCGCATATATTTGTAAATACTAAATCTGTGGTAGTATTTCTTTTCAACAATTATATAGAAAATGTGTAATTCTGTTTGGCAACTCTTAAGTAGATGTGTCTTCCCTGCCTTAGCCCATGGATACCCTGTTTGAAATACTAGGTCCTATTTTTATTGTGGCTACCATTCCTTTTTGACCACTTATTAAGTCCAGCTCCCCCCAATTCCTCATTTGTCCATTCTTGTATCCTGGTTTGCTTAAGTACAATATCTAAATTTACTTTGTTCTGAGAAAGTGATACTTTGTATTTAGTTAAGTGACTTTTCAGTTAAAATACCTCCTAAATAGCTAAACTGTTTGGATGGCAGCTAGCTAACAAAGTTCTCAAGATATGAAGTATTAGAATATTTAAGAGCATATGTGATTTTTAAAAACATTAACTACTCTAGTAAAAGAAAGGGTGAGTATTTTTTTTTAATTAAACATAAAACCAACTTAATTTCAAGTTATAAGAATTTGTTGGTTGCATTATGAGTTAATTGCAACTGGCTGGTTTTAAAGGCTTGGGAACTTAAAATGACAGGGCTGGTTTTAAAGGCTTGGGAACAAAGTAGCAAACTATATTATGGTGAGAAGCAAACAGTTAATTATTTCACAAATTAAAATCTTTATCTGATAATTCTCAGTGTAGTACCTAATTCAGTGCATTGATGCTCATTCTGGCAGGAATGTTCTGATTCTTTGCATTTGGTGAACATTATTGTTCATTGGACACATCCATTTGATTTTATGTAATTGCTTAGTGTATAATTACTTCAAAAGCAGTGATTGCCTGCAAAACTTGTGATTAGATGTGTAGTATTTTCATTGCATATGTATATTTTTGCTTGTTATTTGTTAACAATACTCACATATTCTATGTTTATTATCTGATGTGACTTCATATACAGACTCTGTCGCAAGCCATAGTCAAAGTGGTTATCCCAACAGAAAGGTACATGTTTTTCTTTATTATTACTGATCTAAATATAGACAATATCCCCTTCTGAATTAAAAGAAAAAATGGTGTTGAGGAAAAGGTGATATCTTGACTGAGCAATGGTTCCTTCCCAGTATTTTTTGGGGGGGATATGTGAAATTTAACTAACCAATATACTGTGCAATTTTATGCCATTATCTATTTTGCTTTTATTGTTACCATTGGTAGGGAATTTTATAGCTTTGGTAGTTAGAATATGTTTAATAGGTTTGATCTGGTATTGTTAGGATGTACCAGATGACCTTGATGGTGCCCCTATTGAAGAAGAGCTTGATGGTGCACCTTTGGAAGATGTGGATGGAATTCCTATTGATTCTACTCCCATTGATGATCTTGATGGAGTCCCTATAAAGAGTTTTGATGATGTTGATGATGGAGTGCCTTTAGTGGATGCCACTGAAGACTCAAAGAAGAATGAGCCTATATTTAAAGTTGCTCCATCAAAATGGGATGTAGATGAAGAATCTGAATTGGAAGCACAGGCTGTAACAACTTCTAAATGGGAGTTATTTGACCAGCATGAAGAATCAGAAAAAGAAGAAAATCAAAATCAAGAAGAAGAAAGTGAAGATGAAGAAGATACTCAAAGTTCCAAATCTGAAAAACATCGTTTATATTCTAATCCAATCAAAGAAGAAATGACTGAGTTCAAGTCTTCTAAGTACTCTGAAATGAGTGAGGAAAAACGAGCCAAACTTCGTGAAATTGAGCTCAAAGTTATGAAGTTTCAGGATGAACTGGAATCTGGAAAACGACCTATAAAACCAGGCCAGAGCTCTCAGGAGCAAGTAGAACACTACAGAGATAAACTTCTTCAAGGAGAGAAAGAGAAAGAATTAGAAAGAGAACTAGGAAGAGATAAGAAGGATAAAGAAAAATTGGAATCTCGATCTAAAGACAAGAAGGAAAAAGATGAGTGTACTCCAACAAGGAAAGAAAGGAAAAGGCGACACAGTATGTCCCCTGGCCCATCTCACAGTAGCAGTGGTAGACGAGTGAAGTCCCCATCACCAAAGTTGGAGCGATCAGAGCGTTCAGAAAGATCGCATAAAGAGAGTTCTCGGTCCAGGTCATCTCACAGAGATTCTCCTCGAGATGTTAGCAAAAAGGCCAAAAGATCACCATCTGGTTCAAGAACACCTAAAAGGTCTAGGCGATCACGGTCTAGATCCCCTAAAAAATCAGGGAAGAAATCCAGATCCCAGTCCCGATCTCCACACAGGTCTCATAAAAAGTCAAAGAAAAACAAACATTGACATACATTTTTAAGATGCTGTCACTTATTGGAAATGCAATTTTGTTTTGTACCTGAATGGTCTGTTTAAAAAAAAAATCAAATGAAAGAGCATTCCTGGGATTTTTATTTATTTGTGAAGCATGTGTAAACTCATGAGTAACTGCATCTGTAGACCTGTCATTGTTTTCTATTGTGTAAATCACTTTTGTTGTGGCTGTTTTTCAATATGAAATTATTGTGGTAATGAATTTCATCAGAAATGTGTATAATGGATCTGCTGGCTGTAGTATTTTTTTTTAGAATGCTGTGACCTAGCAAAACTAATACAGATGTCTTCCCCCATTTTGTAGCTTTGGCAATTTGAATTAGATTTCAAATAAAATCTGAACAGAAAAAAAAAATTAGAAGCCAAGGTTAA